TGTTGTTTACCACTTGTTCACTAATTGTTTCCGACAGACCTTTTAGTATAATTTCAATATAATAGAAAAGTTTTTGGATTTGGACGTTAATTTCATTTTTGGTTTTTGTCGGCTGTGGATTTCATAATTTTGACTTGTGTATTTTCTTGTAGTAAAGAATGTTTTCATTAAAAAAAAGTATCGTTAACCGTCTGACTCTCTGATGGAAACTGCAAACCGTGATGGAGCGTTAGAGCAGAAAAAACTAATTTAGTCAGGGATTTGGATGATATGAAGAAGCGTTAATCCTTTAAATGAAAACATCCATTAATTTCCATAAAAGGCTCGTTTGCACGGCCACTTAGTTTTACCGTTAAACCCGAGCAAGATGGTCTTTTTTTGGCCGTGCTGGCCAGGTGAAACGACGGCTTAAAGTCAGGGTTACAAGTGACGACAAAACCTGACAAACCCAACAAATTTTCCCAACATGTTTGACATAAAAAGAAAAAAACGCGTATTCACAAGTGTGTTGTAAAATTAATTATTCTTTCTGAGTAAGGTCTTGGTTGAGATAAAAAAGTCAGGGGGATTCGAACCCACGACCTTCGGCTAAATACGCCACTACTCTACCACTCGAGCTATCGTGACATCGATCCTCTTAGACACCAACTCTCTACCTGAACCAACAGCAGTTCGAAATTTCCCTCTTTTTTGCCATTTTCAAATGTGTAATCGGATGGATTTATCAGCGATAAAGTGGCTACGGGGAGCTGTTCGGTGAAGTGAAAAAAAGTCAGTGTCACGAGCGGGATTCGAACCCACGACGTATGGCTAAATACGCTGCAACCAAGACCTTACATAGAAAGAATAATTAATTGAAAGTAGTAAGTTGGTCAATTGACCACTAAAACGTAAAATGGATTGAAAAGGAAGTTGATTATTAAGTTGATGATTAATAAAAATTCACGTTTCACCCAAAACCAAATGGTACCACACTTTAAGTGAGTTTGAAATACTTGGTTTAAAATGCATATTTACATCTGTATTGTATTATTTCCAACATATGTTTTGTAATTTACCCAGGCCCTGAAGATGACCCGAATAAAGATCGAAACGTCAGCAAAAAAATGAAAATTGTGTTTTTCTAAACTAATTCTTGACGCTCCTCACGACTTCAACAAATTATGAAAAAACAGGCCACACACAATAATAATATGCTTTAACGTTTATTCAAAGGAAATTGCTATTTTTTCCTTTCCTTCCTTTATCGTCCTTAAATAATCAACTTCCTTTCCAATATGGAATGCCGAATTACAAATCCAATCCAGAAAATCCTCATTCTCGTCTTCCTTTGAGTTAAATAGAACCGCCTACGATCAAAGAAATTTTCCTAGATTTAACGCGTCCCCAAACCTGTCAGAACCACATAAAAACAGCAGTATACGAATTAACATTTCACTACACTTTCACACAACACCATTATTACATAAAATTTATATTTACATCCTAAATCGTATTTTTTCCAATCAATATGTTTTGTAATTTACCCAGGCCCTGAAGATGACCCGAATAAAGGTCGAAACGTCGTCTAAAAAATGAAAATGGTGTTTTTCTAAACTAACTCATTCTTGACCGCTTCTCACGACTTCAACAAATTATGAAAAAACAGGTCACACACAATAACAATATGCTTTAACGTTTATTCAATAGATATTGTGAGAAAATACGACCCAGATTTAAATAAATATCCAATTACTTTGAATAATGATATCCTACAAGTAATGTTTAAGTAATTATACGTGATACTTACTCGCTTTCTTCACACTTAATTGGCTTGCGCAAAGAGCAGGCATGAGGCTAGCAAAAAGGCGACAAGCAAAAATAACTCAACGGAAGAAAGAGATAATACTACTTAAAAGAAAGGTATGTTAATCTGTCATGTAAATCGTTATGATCCGGTTAAATATCATTTTAAAAAAGTGGGACTATCAACAAATGATCAGTGTCAATTATGTCTAGAAGAGACGACAGAACAAATATATTCAGCTATAGCTAGGAAAAGGCTGTGGTATCTGGAAAAACTGTTCTCCCCCACAAAACCCCATAAATCTTGATACCCTTCCTTCGAGAAGAATTCTTCATTTAATAAAAGAAGTGAATATCTTCTAGAAAATCCATTAGTGGTAAAGAAAAATCCTTACCACTCCATATGGTGAGGAAAAATTAACAAATTGTAAATGAATAAATTTAAATTGACGCCAGAAAACCGTGACTAAATAACTCACGAACTAAGGAAGGAGTAGATGAATAACTGACTTTTTTTTTAAATCAAAAACGCGCTTTGCAAGCGGGGAATGTTCTCCCGATCCAGACGGAAGAGTCGTAGCGTTGAGAAATTAGCCGGAAATGCCGACCAAGAGCACGGGAGATGCCAAGTGGCGTGTGAAGCCTCATTTCAACCGATAAGGCCGTCGTTATTGCTCATAAACCTTAAATAAGGGTCGATCCAACAGGCTGGGAATAGAAGTTATTACCTAGGAGTGAACACACGCTTCAGATCCTGGAGGCAAACACTCTCGAACGTCAGTGTTTTCCGCAAAGCCTCTCCCCGTTTCCGTTATTCAAAAGATTCGAGGATAAGGAGAGCTCCCCATTTACGTTTTGAATCGCAGATTAAGGTAAAAATCTCCAGAACAATCTGTACGCGCATCGGCCAATTACTTTTTCCTTTTATAAATAATCCCTCTTAAAAAGCAGACGGCTTTGGGAGAGTCGGCTTATCCAAAGCCGGAGACCTTTCAGACAAATCGGCTTGCTCCGCTCTTATCTGTTTAGCAAGTACAGGGCTGCAAAGGAGGAAAGGAAGAGTATGGCCAAGTAATTTTTTTTATCCGGGAAATGTCAACCGCTGGTGAAGGGTGGCTGGGGCCGTAAGGGTGAAGAGAGCTGGCAAACTTCGACCGCTTCTGGCCAAAGTTAAATCGGATTGAAACATCATACCAGTCAAATATTCAAAACGAGCGAAACTCAGTACAAATACTTCTTTTGTAGCAAATCTCATAATGTCTTAAAATGTATCGCTATATTTTTGATCAATCTTGGCTACATAGTTATAACCTAACGTTTACTTAAAAATTAAACAATTTAATTTTTTATTATAATAATTTAGTGAGATTATCAATTTAAAAAAAAAATCATCAGTCATCTTTTCTCTTACAAGTAAATAAATTTCATAATATTTACCTTTTTTTTACACGATGTAGAAATAATACATATACATACAAGTTACGTGTGTTGACTAAACGAGAGTCTTTTTAAAAAGAACTTTATTAGTTAAACACAAGTTATAATTTGAGAAGAACCTTTCCTGTTCACGGATATGATTAATCTAATACTGTCTTTACAAGTGTAAAAGGAATAGTGAACAGGGAAGGGTTTATTGCTTACAAACATTCTCCGAATCTGTACAGACGCAACATCATATGTCGCTGAACTAATGGTTTTGTGCAGGCGTAACTTACATATACCATAATAAATGCAAGGGGATTGGAAAAAGAAAAAATGTGAGTAAATGATTTATACATATATATATATATATATATTTTTTTTTTTTACGAGAGTTTGCAACAGGTCTTATTAACCCTCAGGGTGCCGGTGTTTTTGAAAAAAGCCCACTTGTAAGTATGTTGGGTTCGAATGCAGGGCCGCTGCATTCGAACCCGGAACCTTTACCTTACATTGATGAGCGCAGTGTCAACGCCTAAACCGTTGCGACCACCGACGCCCCCCCCCCTTAGTGAAACGTTAAAACAGAACAAACTACAACACCTTGAATCTCAAAGATAATAGTATGCTGGAAATTGTTTAAAACCAGGGTAGTTGGGATTTTGTGTTTTGTGACGAGAAACACTATTGAATTCGACACGAGAGCTAAGCGGTGAGGACGACCGTGTGACATACAATTACATGAAATCAGGGCGTTTCGTCGTTTCTATGCAACCCCCAAATTCAACCCGATTCGAGATAAGGGAAACAATCTATGCCCGAATGAGCCGGTATTTTTTCTTACGAAAAACCTAGGGCAGCGAACACAGCCGTAGATAAGGGGAGAGGCCATGACAGGTCGCGCAATGCACCTCACGTGTAGTGCTTCCGATCACGCCAACCCTCTTTTCCGACCCCCGCCCTAATAAGTTATTATAACCTTCAGACAGACAATTATTCTCGTTAGCAAACTTTTCCGTACACAAAATCCCCTCGGACGGAACACCTGAACTTTTAAGCGGGTTAAAAATAATTTGAGCGGAACACGTAACCGGCCTGTAAATATTTCCAACCGGGTTTATCCTATCCCATGGCTGTTTTCCCAGACCGACATACCACCGACCCATTTTAATTTAAACACCAAATTATGGATAGCGATAAATGAATAATTAAAATACTTTTATCATCTGTGTTGCGACCATGTATTGCAAGGCATTTACGAATATTGATTGGCTTTTTATTGGGTCTCAATATAAATTTGGCGTTTTGATATTTTTTTTTGTTTCTTCCTGTCTAATTTAAGTGTAAATAATCAGGAATAAGGCCAAGTCGAAAGAAAAACAGTATATCCTCTTCATCAGGACTTAAACGTTCCAACCTCCAATGTATCTAATCCCTACAATACTAAAGTACCCAAACCATTTTCAATGCTCCTTTGTATGTATTCATTCTTTCCATTTACATTGACCTTATTGTGTGGTGTTTAGTGACCGTCAGTTAATGATTATTTGGAGATCGTGAGAAGCGGTCTGGTGTGATGTAGGTTTCAGAAAAACATTTTCTTTATCGTGCCAACTTTTCGATCTTTATTGAGATCATCTTCAGGCCTCAAAGTGTTTGTTTTCTGCGTAATTGTACCATTCTTGTGTGAGTGGCTCTCTCACAGAGTGTTCCCCGAAGATGATCTCAATAAAGATCGAAACATTGGCGCGATAAAGAAAATGTTTTTCTGAAACCTACGTCACACCAGACCGCATCTCACGATTTCCGAATAATTAACTATTATCACCATAAATCAGATACATCTGAAAGGTTACAAACCGGATTGAATTTCTAAAATTCTACAGAATAAAATGGGCTGTAGTGCCTGGCAGATGTCGTCATTTTGAAGGATTAAGAAACTTTATACGTACGAACAATAACATTTAACCGGGAGCAAACCTAGGCGAAATTGAAATGAGAGGTGATAAAGGTGAGATCTTAAATCATAAGATTGTTTGGTTGATCGATTAGTTTAATACATCATTTTACGACATCGCAAGTTTTCTCTGATTCATGGTACGTGAATGGTTCTGTGGTACTTCATTAAGATGCAGATAAAATCAAACAGTCTTTGTGTTCAAATACCCAGTCTGGGAGAATTATCAGTTTCATCATCGTTTATGCACTTTCTAACACAATAACGAGTTGGGTTGGCAACCTTTTGGAGTGGAGAGTCGGCCAAAGGAGTAAAACGCCAACAGTCTCTTATGTCCGTCCAAACTCGCATCATTATTGAGATTAGGATTTCGCTATAAACTGCGCACAGAGAGAGTTTCAGCATTGAAGATTTTTAGTTTCAATTCCATTTACCGGATCATCTACAATCAAATGTAAAAAAATGTTATAAACGATTAAATTCACTATTTTTCGTGGTCCGCTTGACCAATTAATAACATTCAATTAATTAATGTTTTAAGTTGAGATAAAAAAGTCAGTGTCACGAGCGGAATGCGAACCCACGACATTCGGCTTGATAAGCCGCTACTCTACCACTTGAGCTATCGTGACTTCGATCCCCTCGGGCACTAACTTCCTGAAAAATGGCAAAAAGGAGCGAAAATTCAAAAGGTGCGGTTGAGATGGGAAGTTAGTGCCCGAGGGGATCGAAGTCACGAAAGTTCAAGTGGTAGAGTAGCGGCGTATCAAGCCGAAGATCGTGGGTTCGAATCCCGCTCGTGACATTGACTTTTTTTATCTCAACTTAAAACCTTAATTAATTGAATGTTATAAACGATGGAATTAACTTGACAGGCTATTAATAAATTTGAAGTCAGTTTTTTCCTCGAGATAATTGAACAAGTATGGGAGAGGAAAAGAAATAGTGCGTGAGTCTTCTATAATTGGATTCATAAAGGGCGAGTCCCTTCCTTCTATTATATAAAAACACATAAGTGATTTACTTTTTTTGAAAAATACATTTCAATGTTTTTTTTTGGGGGGGAGACAGTATTTTTTGAGAGCCAATAATTTACAACTAATAACAATACTCTACTACTAACAATACTCTAATTAAAAAAATACAATGTTATGAAAAATTCTACGTTTTTTTAAAGTACGGGCATTTGATACGTTTCTTTTTATGCAGAAGGATATATTCATTCACTGGATCTAGACACTTAAATTGAGTTAATTAAATTACGTTTGATGGGATTTGTGAAATAACAGAGTCTGTTATTCAGAGTATCTATGCTTTTACAAAGTAGGCTTCGTTAGATTCTCTTCTCAAATTCATTCTCAGACACAAATAGCCGTACCTCCAGGCAGTTCGTGCCTAGCTCGGCCCTAAAGGGAGAAAAGGGGTGATTGCGGACGAGATGTATATTGAGTATGAAGAAGGAAAGTGCAATGTCTCTTGGGAGATGTGAGCACAAGAATGAATGAGCATTGCCGTCTAAAAAAAACAAACATTAATGTAAATGTTCCGTTGGCTGGTTATCCCCTTTCCAACCGCAAATTAGGAGTTGAGTCTCCTCCAGCCGTTGCTGAGAACCAAATCTCAGCTAAACACCCGCAAATTATTTGGACAATTTTCATCTCAATTACATTTGCATAATTCCTGTTTAAAATTATTAATTAAATCCCTTGTATCAATCTATTCCTTTTAATTTTCCTTACTTAAGAACACGTAAGCTGTTTCTTTCGATTGAAGAATTGTTAAAAAAGAAAGCAACTCCGACTTCTTCCAACATCAAAAATCCACGAGGAATGAGCTCAGCCTCTCCCTTTTTTTACCCCTGACCGACCATTGAAGTTGAAAAGCCGAAACGTGCCTGACAGATAAAAAATAAGCATCAGTAGGCAGACTAAAACGATCGGAACTACCGCACTACTATATAAAAAACTGGAAATGTTTTACCTTAAAAACCTAAAAAAATAAACGATTCTGAATGTAGTATCAATCTTATTTATTGGTTATGTATTTGAGTATTACTCTGTATTATATTGATAGAGTAAAAAGCGGATAAAAGTATACAAGATTATAGTACAATTATCAAGAACAATTCAAAACTTATTTTAATACTAAACTAAAGTACTCTAATAATTTTATACGTTATGAAAAAATATTTTACATATTTTAAATCAGTGTTAAATTATTTGCGTTAATCGAAACTGATATTATGATGATAACCCCTACTCTTGTTAAGACTTTTCATCAGTTTTTTTGTCTGTCAATATAAACATGTAATATTTGTAAAATCTGCAGAGTGTTTCACAAAATGAATAGTATGTAACAAGAATCATCAATACACCTCGATTCACTATAAATACAATATATAAAAAAGAAACATGACTAACTAAAAATTAAGGGGATGACGGTTGATACGGCGATTCATCACTGTAGGGGTTCCTGGTTCGAATCTCATCGGACGTGAAAACTGGATTTTCTGTGTAAACCGAACCCCGGGGTTGACTGACCTCTGCCGTATAATATAAGCCTAAAAGTAAAACGTATAATATAATGTATCTATTCATACTTGTTTTCCAGGAAAAAATAATTTTAAGGAATTTAATAGCGGAATATGCGGCTGATTTAACAAATGGCAGTAGAGGAGGCTGTATGCAATGCAGCATAAATCCAGCTTTAAAGGTGGTAATTTGTACCCGCCACATTCCCATGGCGTCAAGCTCTGCATCTAAATCCGAACTCTTTTGAATAAAACGGTTGAAATGAAAAAGACAAATATTTATTTTTCACAGCTAACAAAAATTCTGTTTTCCAATTTCCATAAATGCCTTTTGAAAGAAAGAAAAAAAAAGCTTAGACTGTGAAGACGTAATAGCTGGCTGAGGTTGTTGAAATATGTATTAGACGAACATTAAAAAGAAAATATGCCGAGGGATATTTTAAGTGATGGAGAGGGAAACTTTGTCCCCCACACCAAGTAATGAAGTATTTCATCCAACTTCTTTTCCTGTTTATAACTTACCCAGGCGGCGAAAGTCGATCCCCCCAAACTTTCCACCATTTCAAAGGGAGGAGCGTGTCGAAAAAGTAGACGTTTTGGATTCCTTTTAATTTTGGCCAGGCCTTAAAAACTTCTTCGGGTTAAAAGGGAAAAAATCGGAGGGGATTTGTAATGAATTGTTCCCGATATTTGCCGCGGTTTTTACGATATTTTCTTCGACCAACCCGCTGTAGCGTAAAAGGGAGTTGACAAGAATATTGAAGAACAGACTTCTACCGTGTAACAGAGCAGAAGAACCGTTTGCCGTCCGCATAATTTCCTGTTTCTCAAAAGTAAAACGTGGAAGAAGTATTGACGGGAGCCGTTAAAAGGTGGTTTAATTTCCGGCAGTTTTTTTACCTCGATGCAAATGTCAGCGAGGGGATTCTAATTAACTTAGAAAACTTGTAGGAAAATAGAAAACAGCGTTTGAAGATCATAAGGCCACTGTTGAAAATGAATAACAGCAAAACCAAAACCATTGCCCTTCATAAACCACAAATCTACAACTAAACAAGTTATACATAACACTTAAGGCGTTACTGTCTGGCCTATGTTTAATTATTTCAAACGTGAGATTTATCAGAGAGTCGAAGTTGTAATTGGGGCTAGTCAGACTGGGGCATTAAACAGAAAAAGCATACTGTTAATAAGGTTGCCGGTAATTTCATTACGAACTTCACTCTATAGATGTTGCAACGATGACTCGGCTGTTGCAGGTCAGCTGGAGGTGCACATGAACTATCATCGAGGACTGGAGACAAGGGGCAGATGGGAAATTCCCAGGTTTACTAAACATACAAAACTCTGCCTCTTTGAAGTCTGGCATTGTCATTCAGAATTGTTATAAATCCCTGCCAATGAGATCCCTGGTGTGAGGGATGATTCCTCGGCAATTTCTTGGACATAATGGACTGCGGTGGGGTTACCGTGTAAATCCCAGCCAAGACCATTACAACGCCTCCTCCAAACTGCACTGAAGGGAGCACGAACTGGGGCATTGTATGTATCTTTTGTTCTCGGTATTCTCTTCGGCGTCTGCTGTCACTGTACAGGCAGAAACGTGACTCCTCAGAAAACGTAACAGGTGTTGTCTTCTAGCGGCTCGCCCTACACTAATGCTGCGGCAGTAACACTATTCTGCCGTATGCGAAGGTGCGTCGGCTCTCATCTTGAGAGTCAAAACGTCCGATAAGGACGAATAGGCCAGGTGCGGACGTTAAAGATCCTCAGAATCCTTTTTAGGATGATGGAGTATGCGGGAATGAAACTGTACCATATTCTCAGGTTAACTGTAGCCTTGAGTGCCTGGCAAGCATTCTAAATCAATAGACGGTATGGCAAATCTCTGAAAAGACCTTAGCCACAATTAACCGTCGGGTGTGAGATCAGTTACACTTCGCGGACAGCACTATGAGAGGCCTATGTGCGAGAATTACTGAATTACTACTATGTTCCAACCTTACTGCTTGCAATTGAGGTCGGACTCGTAGTGGTACGTGGTGAGGTTCCTTGAGAGTAGCCCAAGGGGTACATCGTATCCTCTGGACGGCATTCCACTTCAATAAAAACTGGTGCCGACCCAGCCCTGCAGAAGGGCCAAGAGGGGAAGAACCTTTTTAAAGGCTCTACGTGAAAATCTACGGTATTGCACACCCCACCGTAGACGGAAGCGTGTCGCCTCCTTACTTGAAAAACGATCCCGTGCTCGCACGGAGGACCTATATGGCCCTAGGGCAGGCGCGGTGTTAAAATATCCTCACGTCCTTGTCAGGATGTCGAGCAAGATTGGGAACGAATGTACCATATTCTTTCAAGCGGGGAGCGTCGTTGTCTTGGCCCTTCCGGGCTGAGCTGCCTCTACACCAATGCTGCGGAAGTAACACACATCTGTTATATGCGGAGGTGCGTCAGCTCTCATCTTGAGAATCTAAACGTCCGATAAGGCCTATGTGCCTGGTGCGGACGTTAAAGATCCTCATTGTCCTTTTACGGACGACCGAATATACAGGAAAGCAATGTACCATATTCTCCCGAGTTGCTAGTGGCCGGCTGCTCTGCAGGTCGTCTCAAATGGGCACAAGATGTGATGCCAACTTCCCACAAATGATTATGAATCGTTTGTGTTGATAAAGGCCTTGGCAAAACATCTTGTACTTCATTTAGGATCTGGCGGGCACTATGGAAAGGGTTCCGTCTTACAGCAATGACACAATATTTCTGTCGTCCCTTAGCGCCGTAATGGGCTGAGATCCACTACTAAGCCTCCTATGGCACTTCCGTTCTTTCGAGTAGACGGCAGTCCACGCTGTGAGAAAGACCAACTGCCTCTACGATATCCACTTGCCGGTGTCCTCGATGGCTATTCTCACAATAATATTGCGGACTTTTAGTAAGATGATGTCTTTCCATGGTTAAAGAGAATGCAAGAAAAGACGATAAAAAGTGTTTGTTACAAAATGAGTAATCTTCATGTCTACTAGTCTTAAGTAAATCGGTTTTTAAAACTGAGGATCAAGATTAGTTGCTTTTTGGTTTGTACTTTTTATTTAGTTTTATCCAACTAACAACAATATATCGGTTAATTTAATTAAAATTAATAGAATAAGAATAAATTACAAATATTTCTATTTATTTTTTGGCAGTTTATTACAGCTCAGTCAGTATTATAATCTTTAGTATGGTCGTTTCCGATCATTTTAGTGTACTTCTGCTTATAACATCGACACTGAAGATGGCGAGAAGCCGCAACGCGTTTGACAGATTTGTTAATTAATGATAGGAAACGACGAAATGATAGATCTATTATATCGCAGACTCAAAATGATATTGCATGTTCACAATTTCATTGAATTTAACAGAAACGCATAATATTATATATTTACCGTAAAAATAAGCGAAAGCTAGTCTTCCCAAATTGTCTGTCTGTTAAACAAAAACGCACCTGTAACAAAAAAATAAAATATATTAGTATAAATTTAAAAGTAAGGCTTAAAGTTAAAAGCAATATTAAAGTTCTTAAATTTTCCTGCGGTATGGTGACAGTTTCGTTCGAGCTAATTTGTTTTATAAAACAAGATTAAACGATGTGCAATAAAACCTCTATGTGCACTTAAACAGGACAATCTGTTGCCTCTCGGGAGAAAAAGGGACCACCTGTAGCGTACAAATTGGACAATAAAAACGATCTTTCAAACTATAGCCGACTGAATAAATTCCCGCTGATCAAAATGAATAATTTTAAAGGCTGAAGCTATTCCTGAAAAAATCAAAAAGGGGAAGTTGAGGTAATAATTCAAATCGCATAACCTGGAGGGTCGTAAATAAGGTTCGTCAACGGTTTTCTAATGGAAAGGATATTAATGAAAATCGCTGTCGTTAAACAGACGAAACCCTGCCAGCAGATGTGACAGGCCCTGATAGATTTCATCCTTAATTCGTTCTGGCTCATTACTTAGAATTGATGAATTGATTCACATTAAAAAAAAACTTATATATCTCACGTCTATAATTTCCTAATAAAGATTCTTCTGATTCTTCTTGCAATTTTTCACTTATCTGTTTTACCTGTACCTATTTTGGCGCCTTGTTATCATTTTGCGCCCCAGTTGCAGATCCACTCATTTTTATGGCTGAAAAAATGTTCGAGTTCAGGCGCGTGCAAAATATAATTTCTAAAACTCCTGGACAAAACAAGGTTACTGTTTTATGTAAAATGTTTGAGAAACGGTATAAAACATGTAATAGAGAGTTTAATCATACGTTTCGTTTATGCTTAACGTTAAGAGTCTTGAAAACTTTCCCCTTTGTCTGTTGGCTGACCGAAATATCTCATTTACATTTATTAGGTTTCGTGGTCCGCTTGACCAAATAAATTCTTTTCGATTAATTAAGGTTTCGGTTGAGATAAAAACAGACAGTGTCACGAGCGGGATTCGAACCCACGACCTTCGGCTAAATACGCCGCTGCTCTACCACTTGAGCTATTGCGACTTCGGTCCACTCGGACACCTACTAAAATCACCGAGAATAAAATAGATTACACGACATTTGAAAAATGGCAAAAAGGAGGGAAAATTCAAAAGGTGGGGTTGAGATGGGAAGTTGGTGTCCGAGTGGATCGAAGTCATGATAGCTCAAGTGGTAGAGCAGCGGCGTATTTAGCTGAAGGTCGTGGGTTCGNGTTCCGTATGCAAATGTTTGGATAAACATTGAAATCATTAGCTTTATTACTTATGTTATTTTCGATTACGAGAGAGGGGAATTATTCGGTTGACCTAGTAATTCTTCTTTTAGTGGGAAAGGCTTTAAAAGCCGTATTCTTGTATCGTTAAAACGGCTTAAGACGGATTAGTGAGATCCAGTAATGCTTTTACACCTAAGATTTACCGTTTGGAACGCGTCTTAGCTTTAAGAGAATTTATTTAGGGGTATTTCATGATATGTTCATTGGTCGTATTTTTCATATTCATTGTTACGTTTATATTGAATTTGCGAATTTAACATCTACGAGTGCTTCTCTTTGCTGTTTTCGTGTTTATTGACACTGATTGTTTTATCTCAACCAAAACCTTAATTAATTGAAAATCTCTCATTTACCTTCAATGGGCTCGGCGAGATCTTTCCTCCGGCTGACAGGGAAAAAGCCCAGCGTGGAAAGTGTTTTACAATAGATGGACTTAATCAATTAATATATTCTTCACTTCCTCGCCCTCCGGCTCGAGTCTTTGGAAAGTTTTTCATTTCAGGAAATTGTTATTGAATAGATAAACTCAAGGAAGAATATTGTTGTGATGTTTTTACTCAAAATATAACGAAGGAAGCTTTTTTTTGTCTTGTAATAGTGTACATCGCGAAAGAAGGTTGAATTCGCCCGACTGAGAGAAACAGGCGATTCATCACATTTGAGTTTAGACTGAGTACCACGGCGGAACAATACATAAGATTCATCGTAAGGGCATTATTTCCACATTACGGACCCTGAAAGCAAGATACCACCCCTTTTTACTCGGAATCCCTTCAAGATATTAGATTTTTAATGGCCGGCGGGACATTTCCCAGGGGCGGTCGGAGGCGTATTGCCTTTTGGAGGGTCTGCTTCATCAAAGGTCACTTTTCCTTCCGAAGAAAACCTAACTAAACCGGCCCGGAACCCTGGGGAACCTGCGAGCTTAAATTGGCCCCTTGTTTTAAGGGCCAATTTCGGACGGTAGTTTAATAAAGCAATTCGCTCCTGAAAATTGGCCCATTCTAATTCCTGCGAGGGGAGGAGGGAGGAATTTGAAAATTTTCACGGGTCGAGCTACTGGATATAGGAATAGGATTTTCTCAAAAGATGATTTCGTCGGCATAACAGCCCAAAGAAATGAAAGTGGGCCAAAGAGGACTCTTCTGCTTTGTTAAGTACCACAAGGGCGCAATTCTCAGAATTATATTTGACTTTATTGCGTCTCTCCGTAACCCGATATTCGGATCGAATGAAAATATTAAGGATAAATGAGATAAAGATTCAGTTTTTATTTAAAGACGGCGTAAAGATTATTATAAAAACAGATGATGGCTCTTAAATGAATTAAAATTCATTCTTTTATGTTTCGCAAGTACTGTCATACAAATTGATATCCTGGTCTGCCTATCCGCACGGATTTTGGTTAATTCAAATGCGTTCCGGTATTTCGCCATCTTCAGTGATATTTGTGGAGTGAAGTTATGAGGTCGTGGATGGTTGGTGGGGGTTGTGTAGGTATTATCAGTATTTATTATGTCGGAGTCTTTTTTATTGTTCTAGTCGTCTTTTGATCTTCCGTCCTTTTCCTTTTTAATTTTTGTAATGTTTTTAATGATGTCAACGATGTTAGTGAGTTATTGTTAATTTATGTGCTTATGAGATTTTAGGGTTGGATGTAGGGGGGGGGGGCTGTGTAGTTATTTATTATAGTAATATTTGTAGGTCTGTTTGGTGGGTTAAGTTAAGGGTAATATAAATTTGGGAGCTTTGAGTGGGGAGTAAGGGTAATATAAATTATTATCGTTATGAGATATTGTGGTCCTACTGCGGTGATAAAGAAAACAGTTTGTTCATCATCTTTTACTGAGCTATGTTCGATTTGATGTAAACCATAAACTTCTTAAGGAATAAGCTTGGCTTTTTCTTGGTAATAATGTCAGAAATTCATTAAAGTTCGTGGTCCGATTAACCGAATAACAATTTTCAATTAATTAATCTTTATGTAAGGCATTCGAATCCACGACCTTCGGCTAAATACGCCGCTGCTCTACCACTTGAGCTATCGTGACTTCGATCCACTCGGACACCAACTTCCTATTTCAACTCCACCTTTTGATCTTCCCTCCTTTTTGCCATTTTTCAAATGTCGTTGAAATGGGAGGTTAGTGTCCGAGTGGATCGAAGTCACGATAGCTCAAGCGGGAGAGGAGCGGCGTATTTAGCCGAAGGTCGTGGGTTCGAATCCCGCTCGTGACACTGACTTTTTTATGTCAACCAATACCTTACATAAAGATTAATCAATTGAAATTGCTCGAAATGTTTACACGTTTCGGTACAAGCATTAGATTATTCTTCCATTACGTACGAGCAAGTTTGCTCTATTCCCATTAAATCTTTGGATGCCACTGTGTGACCAAGTCAACTTTTAGTGATTGTTATTCTAATGAAATTGGAAGTTGCTTACAAGTAGAGCACCATTCTTTACTACTAGTTTTTTAAATGTTCTAGTCGGTCTTTTGGATTTTCGGTGTGCTTTTCCTTTTTAATCTGTATATTGTTTTAAATTGTGCAAATGATGTTTGCGTGTTAATTGTTTAATTAATTTTTTATTTTCCTTCCTTTTACTTTTTAATTTGTGTAATGTTTTCGATCGTGCGAATGACATTTATGAGTTATTGTTAATTTTCGTATCTATGAGTGTTTTTAGTGTAGTATGTGTAATGTTTATATATTTATAAGTTTCGAGTATGTTAATTTTTAATTTTTTTTTTGTGTACGTTGTGTACTAGTTTCATAATTGGTTGTATTTGTCTTTCAATTTTCGTGCTGTCTGTCCGATGCATTTATCTCAGCATTCGCACGTCAATATGTACACTCCGTATGGTTCTCGTCGGTCCGCCTTGTTGATGTTCTGTCTTAGGAATTTTCTGATTGTGTTTGTGGTTTTTAGTGCTATTTATGTGTCTAATTTGTTTAATAAGTTAGTTTGTTTGTATGTTTCTTTCCCAATGTTTGTTAATGTGGTCTATTTAATGCCTGTTTTTGAGGTGTTGTTTTGCTTTTGTGTACTCGTTTTGTTATGTTATGTTAAATTTGCTATTTTTTTTTTTTTTATGTTACAGCAGTTATTGTGTGCTATTATTTGTATTCTTTTAAATTCGGTTTCGAACCTGTCTTTGGTTAGTGGGATTGATTTTCGTCTGTCAATCATGTATTTTAGTGCTGCCATTTTGTTACGGTGTGGTTTTTAGTCGGCTTGTATGATGTAAGTTGCTGTCGGTTTTCAATTTATGTCGAATTGTAGTTTGTGGTTCCATCTGTTATAAAAATATTTAATAGTTAACACTAATGTTATTGGCGTGAATCTTGCGCACTCATTCTGGGATATAAATACCCACCTCTGTACAAGTAATTAAATAATTACACATATTAAGACCGACTAAACCTCTTTTTTAAGGCATAACGTACCAAATTTCCATAAATAAAACTAAAAGTTAATATTTTCTATGATAAATAACAACTACACTGTTTTGTAAATTCTACACTTGGTCATCGATGAGCAATATCTGAAAAAATCGTTAACGATTTTCCGAACATATTACAATTTTACTACAATTTTCGACTTACAGAAAAGTTTTATGCAAAACAGTTTAAATTGAAAAAAAAAAATAAAATAAAATAAATAAATAAATAAAGCAGCGACAACGATAAAAGGG